TCGCGGGCTTACAAAGCACATGGTAAGTCAGGGGTACTGTAGATGTTGGGGGGGATGCGGGAGGGTGCAGAGTGAAAATACTTAAGATTTCATGACTGCAAATGCATGGCTTATTTTCCCCTTTTTGGGGGGGGCAGTTAGAGGGTGGGTACAGAAGGAGAGAGATTTTTTAAAATTTTATTTAAATTCAATTAATTTACATATACTGTATTATTAGTTTCAGAGGTAGAGTTCAGTGATTCATCAGTTGCATATAACACTCAGGGCTCATTACATCACATGCCCTTCTTAATGCCCATCACCCAGTTACGCCATCCCCCCACCTACCTCCCCTCCAGCACCCCCCAGTTTGTTTCCTAAAATTCAGAGTCTCTTATAGTTTGTCTCCATCTCTGATTTCATCTTATTTTATGGGAGAGAATCTTTTTTTTTTTTTTTTAAAGATTTTATTTATTTATTTGAGACAGAGAGAATGAGAGACAGAGAGCATGAGAGGGAGGAGGGTCAGAGGGAGAAGCAGACTCCCTGCCGAGCAGGGAGCCCGATGCGGGACTCGATCCCGGGACTCCAGGATCATGACCTGAGCCGAAGGCAGTCGCTTAACCAACTGAGCCACTCAGGCGCCCTATGGGAGAGAATCTTAAGCAGACTCCACGCCCAGTGCATAACCCGGTGCAGGGCTTGAGCTCAACCTTGAGATCATGACCAAAACCGAAATCAAGAGTTCGATGCTTAACCTACCAAGCCACCCAGACACCCCGATGCATACCTTATTTTTAAGTATTTGAAGTTTTAAGTGAATATCTGCACCATGGGATCTTAACAATGTTTTCCTCTTTGCCTTCATTAACTACTATGCTTTTCTCTTCCAGACTATCAAGAACAAGTATGCCACATCTAAGCATGCTAAGATCAGCACTCTGGCACAGCTAAATTCTGCACTAGTTCAAGATTTAGCCAAGGCTGTGGCAAAGGTGTAACTTGTAAACATGAGTTGGAGTACTATAACTGCAAATAAAATTGGCACCATGTGCCATCTGTATATATTATATGTTACCTCTACTTTTAATAAAGTTTGTGGTTCTTTTTACTTCTTATACCTTAACTCATTTGAATGTCACTACTTTCCTACTTGAGGATAACCTAAAAGTTGTGTTAAAGGTATGATGGGGAGTATAAAAAGTGCTTTCAGTTTATTGGGACCCAACTTACATACATAATTGTTACTTGTGTGGTTCTTGTTTTATGTATTTGGCTTTCGCTTTCTTAATATGGATTACTGTGGTCATGAAGGCATTTAAAGCCCTTCTGTAGGGCATACTGCACGTAAGCCCAATTGTCTTGGAGAATATGCAGCCTTGTTCTGCTTAAAAGCCTGCCATCTCATCCTTAGGACCCCCCCGCTCCCCATTTTCTGTTTCTTCTGGTGGTTGCTGCCATAATTCTAAGTAGTTTTTACTTCTACCACTATTTCTTAAATTATCAACTTCAGCTAGTATCATTTTTTCACTTGCAAAAATACGAACTTTATATTTTAAACCTACTTTACCTTTTTATTGTTTATTGATCAAATAAAAGTAGATCCTCAAAACCTACAAAAGTATCTAGAAAAGTTAATTTACTCTTTACCCCCCACTCCTACAGCTCAATCCCATCCATCTGAAGGTATCAACAGTTTGGGATAGATCCTTCGATACTTCTTCTATAAACACAGACATGCACATAAATTGCTACAGGGATTTCTAAGAAATGGGATCATTCTATACATAAGCAATTCCTTTGAACATGTATAGGCCTTGCCTGTATTTGGTCATTACATTCCATAGTACGATATACTACAGTGTTCAACCATTCTGCTATTGACCTTCACATTGCTTTTCCTCTTTGCTCCTACAGACAAATGTCTTTATTATCATTAAATAACACTTTCCTTTTTGTACACTGGGTTCTCCAGAATATGTACTAAGTTTTGGCAGGTACTTAACAAAAGACTTTCAGTGTCATCAGCAGTGTACAAAAGTGCTGGATTCCTCTGTCCTTGCCAGAACTGAAGGCAATGATTCTCCAATTTCTGTGAATTTGGCAAAAAATCTATCTTGTTTGCTGTTGTAATTTATAGTTTTGATGGCTAGTTGAATAAATTTTTGTTGACTACTTATCAGTATGTGAGGTTTTCCCATTTTGTCTTTTGCCTTTTGACTGTTTATGCTCTTTTGTCATGCGGACACTTTTAAGTTTGTGTATTACCAAATCTACTTTTTTTCCTGTAGTTGCTTTTGGATTTTCAGTCCTTTTTTTTTTTTTAAAGATCTAAAGATTTTAGGGGCGCCTGGGTGGCTCAGTCAGTTAAGCGTCTGCCTTCAGCTCAGGTCATAATCTCAGGGTCCTGGGATCGAGCCCCGCATCGGGCTCCCTGCTCAGCAGGAAGCCTGCTTCTCCCTCTCCCACTCCCCCTGCTTGTGTTCCTGCTCTTGCTATGTCTCTGTCAAAAAAATAAATAAAATCTTTAAAAAAAAAAAAAAGCCTTTTTGAAACTTAATATTTTCTCTGTAGATAAGTATTTGAATGACTTCTGTAAATATTCCAAAGATATAAAAAAAGATTTTTTTTCCTGTTAGGGGACAAAGTTCTAGGTACTTTTGTAGGCAAATATTAAATTACAGGTATAAAGAAAGAAAAGTATGTATGTTGGGAGCATATTTATATGTGTGTGCATCTATTTTTCTTTTTCAGAGTCATTTCAAAGTAAATTTTAGATTTCAATATGTCACCTTAAAATATTTCATCATGCATCTAATAATTCAGTTTCCTAAATAACCATAATCTTTATCACATTAAGACAATTAACAACTCCATATGTAATATGCAGTGCATATTCAGATTTCCTCTATTGTTTCAAAGATGTTTTACAAGCTTTTTTCCAAAACAGGTTCCAATCAAAATTTGTTTCCCATATATAATAGTTGTCCTGCTTTTTGTTTTTCAAGGCATGGACATGAATTGTCCAGTCTCTTTGCCTTATAGAATGTCCGTCATTCTAGATTTTTTTTTAAAAGACTTTATTTATTTATTTGATAGAGAGAGACACAATGAAAGAGGGAACACAAGCAGGGGGAGAGGGAGAAGCAGGCTTCCCACAGAGCAGGGAGCCGGATGCGGGGCTCCATCCCAGGACCCTGGGATCATGACCTGAGCTGAAGGCAGACGCTTAACGACTGAGCCACCCAGGCACCCCATCATTCAAATTTCTTGTCTGATTGGTTCTTCATAGTTAAGTTCAGGTTATGCATTCTAGCAAGAATATAGGTGATTTGTACAAGTTATGCATCATTTTGGAGTCACATATTAGTTGTTAAGCTACTGATGATACTGAGTTTGATCATCTGGTTAAGATGGTAACCACCTAATACAGCTTTGCTATAAAGGTGCTGTAATCTTTAGTTTTATTATCCATTAATGATATTAACTTTGAATCATTTACCTCACTAGGAGTCACATGATGGTAGTTAGCTAATTGTATTATCCCTTCTATATTATTGGACATTCTCTAAAGAATAGCTCCACACCCACATATTCCCTTTTTGTTTTACTCTGGATTTTTAAAAATCAGTTATAATCCATTACCCCCAGTGGTTCTCAAAGTGTCATCCCAATCCAGCATCATGAATATCACCTGGGCATTTGTTAGAAATGAAAATCAGAATAAAAACTTGGGAGAGGCACCTGCCAATTTAAATGCCAGTAAAATTAACATACAGTATTATATTAATTTCAGGTGCACAACATAGCCATTCAACAGTTCTCTACATTACTCTGTGCTCATCACATTAAGTCTGCTCTTAAGCCCCTTCACCTATTTCACTCATCCTTCTACCCACCTAGCAGTCGGTTTTAACTAGTCCTCCCCATGATTCTGATTCCTGCTGAGAGGAATTACTGCATTGTCTTTGTCCCAAATTTGGCCTGGGACACCAGATAGGCAACTGCTTAAAAGTATGCGATTGATGTGAGATATTGGAAGACATCCAGGGTAAACCTAAAAAAACAGTAACATTGCCCTTTTTGTGTAAAATAAAAAGTGAAAGGAAACCATGCTTTTCCAGGAGTTTGAGGGTAGGAGTGGCGAATCTACGGTCTTACTTACATCCTTTTGAATCGAAATTATACCGGGAGTTGTTACTTTGATAATGAAGAGGAAGAAGGGAGAGCGCGCACTGTATGACCAAGTGTAACACAGGGGAAACTAGTTACTTAAGGGGAATGCTCGGCTTTCTTGTTCAGAGGTGTGAGTTCCTGTGCTGTTGCTACAAAGCTAGAGCGACAGCCCTTAATGAAAAACTACAATTAGGGATTTATCCGTCCTGCATTTTCTCCATTACCATCATCGCCCAGCTGAAAAGCTTAACTGCAACCTAGTAAGTCGACAAGCCAACACGTCGGGGCACAGAACTGTTAACAGTGCGAATCTTACTGATAGTGAAATTTCACGCTGCAAGTCTGGGGTTCAAGTATATGCACTGCCTCGTAGGGGCTTTAGGTATCCCTGAACTTCGTCAAACGAGGGGTGTCTGGACGTTAAGAACTCAGATCGAAAGTCTGCTTAAACAAAACAACCCTCCATTGTTTCCCTTTCTTGGCCTGCCCGGGTACACCCATTTTCCAAGGCTGTGAAGGTTAACGGAGTGCCAAGATGGGTCCAAAAACCGCTGTCCCAGCGCCAAGGATGATTGACCATATGTGTCGGGGTTTTCCCTTCCAGGCTTCCAGGCGGTTCCCGGGAGCCGGGGTGTGTCCCAAACAGCTGTAACCCAACCCCTAGCCCAGCACTCGACAAAGCTGATGCCTAAAGTTTCACTTTTTCTTACTAGTGGTCTTATACTAGTCGCCAGGATAAGCGTGAAAGGAGTAACCACGGCAACCAGAGAACGGGACGGAAGGGGTGGGACCGTAGGGCGGAAGGGGCGGGACGGAGTGCGGCGGTTGTCCGGCCCTTTCCGGGCGTCAATTTAGTGGCGGGAAAATCGGGTCCTGAGGCTGCATCTTTCCGCCCCAGACGATTCCTCTTTGCACCGGAGGCATTGGAGAATGGAGAAGCAACCCAGAGAGCAAGCGGTCACCGAGCCCGCGGACTCCGGAGCGGGAGGCGAGGAAGGCGGGTCACCACAGGTCGCCGGCGCCCAGACGGCGCGTCCCGAGGACCGCTTGACCCTGCTGCTCAGGTTGTTCCCTCTGGCCGGCTCGGCCGGATCCAAACGGGCGCCGTGGCCCAGAGCCCCGCCCTTTGTTCTCAGGGTCCCGAAGACTTCGAATTCTGACTTGGTCGCTTAATAGCTGCGTCACTGCATCAATCAGTTGAGCTCCTTAAGCCCCTTCATCTTCGGAAAAGAGGACGGTTACATCTTCTTAATAGAGTTGCAGTGGGGGTTAAATGTGATAGTCAGAGGCATGCGGTTAGCACAGTGCCCCGGGCCCTTCGGAGCTGTAATTTCCCCTCCTTTTCTCATCTACTCAAGCCCTGCGGCCCCGATATTCAAACGGGTTGTGAGGTGCATCGACGGCCTTAGCTACATAAAAAAACGTCCTGCCTCTTTATTTTATGGTTACGACCCTTTTCAATCCAGAAGCTTTATTTGTTATATTTCCTACGAAGAGGGTTATGTTTATACTTTTCCACTAAGCCTTGTGTGGCTTTTGGTGTGGCCCCTCAAGCGAAGAATAGTTTTTATGTCTTTAATTGGTTGGGACAAAAAAATTCCTGGAAGGATATTTAGTAACACGTGAAAATTATATGAAATTCAAATTTCAGTGCCCGTAAGGAAAGGCTTATTGAAACACAACTTTCCTGCTACAGGGTCTGTGTTGAGTAGCTACAGTAGAGACCGTATGAATCACAAAGCCTAAAATACTTGTTTGGTCCTGTACAGGGGGGAAAAAAAACTATTCTAAATCATAGTAAGGGGATTTTTTTTCTCCCTCCCCTGTATTTTAGCTTTACCACTACTTTGAAAGGTCTTGGCTAATTAAGTCTCACAGTCTCACTTTAAAAATTCCCTCCTACCTATAACATAAAATTCTGAAATAATAAAGATATGGGATCACCTTTTTTATCTCAGCTAAAAGAGAACTGTTCTTACAGCGTGGTGTGTTTTTTTATTTTTTATTTATTTATTTGACGGAGAGAGAGAAAGAAAGCACACAAGCAAGGGGAGTGGCAGGCAGAGGGAGAAGCAGACTACCCACTGAGCAGGGAGCCCGATGTAGGGCTCAATCCCAGGATGCTGGGATCATGACCTGAGCCACCCAGGCGTCCCTTACGGTGTGTTTTAAAATGCTAGCGTAACTTCTTAATCTGTAAGAAATTCTTTTCATTTGGAATTTCAAACATAAGGAACTTAAACCGTGGAGGTTTAAAAATCCTTCTAATGTCACTTAGCTACTTATATTGGTCTCAAAATCACAGAGCAGTTTCAGAATTATGAAACTACCATGTAAATGTCCAGCATCTTGTAAGTTAGCATTTTACCCATAGCTTTTCTACTTATTTTATATATGATTTTCAATTAAGTACAATGTTAGGACAACCAAGAAACTATATGAATTATCTATCCAAGAGTTAGTATATTTGTTATTTTTCTGTGTCTCCTAGGAATGTTACAAACTGTTTTTAAACTCGTTAAAATGTTTGCGGTTTTCACCATTTTGATGGATTTCTTCTTTGTGTAACCCATATTTCTTGAGTGTGGCATATAATAAATTTAAAAATCAGAATTTTAACTTTTCCCAATAGTTGCTGTTTTCCCACTGGAGTCCATTTTGCATCTTTCTCTGAGGCCCCCCCTTTTTTAAAGATATTTTTATTTTATTTTATGGTTTTGTTTTTTTTTTAAGATTTTATTTGACAGAGAGAGACACAGTGAGAGAGGGAACACAAGCAGGGGGAGTGGGAGAGGGAGAAGCAGGCTTCCCTCGGAGCAAGGAGCCCGATGCGGGGGCTCAATCCCAGGACCCTGACATCATGACCCGAGCGGAAGGCAGATGCTTAACGACTGAGCCACCCAGGCGCCCCAAGAGATTTTTATTTTTAAGCAATTTCTACACCCAGTGTGAGGCTCCAACTCACAACCTGAACTGAGCCAGCCAAGCACCCCATAAGATTTGGGCATAGTTGACACAATGTTACATTAGTTTCAGGTGTACAACTTACTGACTTGAAAAGTTTAGGGGTGCATGGGTGGCTCAGTCGGTTAAGCATCTTCCTTCAGCTCAGGTCATGATTCCAGGGTCCTGGGATCGAGTCCTGCTTCGGGCTCCTTGCTCAGCAGGGAATCTGCTTCTCCCTCTGCCTGCTGCTCCCCTTGCTTGTGCTCACTGTCTGTCAAACAAATAAATAAAATCTTAAAAAAAAAAAAAAAGAAAAGTTTATATATTATGCTATGTTCCCCACAAGTATAGCTTACCATCTCTCTCATTACATCACTATTACAGTATCACTGACTGTATTCCTTATGCTCTGCTTTTTATTCCGGTGACTTAGTTGTTCCATAACTGGAAGCCTGTACCTCCCTCTCGCCTTCACCGGTTTTGCCCAAACCCTCTCTCTGACAACCATCAGTTTGTTCTCTGTATTTATAGTTTTGATTATGCTTTTTGTTTATTCATTTTTTTTAGATTCCATTTATGTGTCAAATCATGGTATTTGTCTCTCAGTCTGATTTATTTCACTTAACATAATACCTTCTAGGTCCATTGTGTTGTCTCAAATGGCACAATCTCATATTTTATGGTTGTGTAATATTCCATAGTGTATATGCCACATTTTCCTTATCCATTCATCTACTGATGGATATTTAGGTTGCATGTCTTGGTTATTGTAAGTAATGCTGTGGTAAACAGGGATACATATATCTTTCGACTTAGTGTTTTTGCGTTCCCTGGGTAAATATCAAATAGTGAAATTATTGGATCATATGGTATTTCTACTTCTGATTTTCTGAGGAATCTCCATACTGTTTTCCACAGTGGCTGTACTAATTTACATTCCCACCAACAGTGCAAGAGGGTTCCCTTTTTCTCCACATCCTTGCCAGCACTTGTGTTTTTGTCTTTTTTATTTTAGCCATTCTGACAGATGTGAGTGATATCTCATTGTGGTTATGATTTGCATTTCCCTGATCATTGGTCATGTTGAGCTGCATCTTTTCATGTGTCTGTGGGCCATCTGTATGTCTTCTTTTTTATTTTTTATTTATTTATTTTTAAGATTTTATTTATTTGACAGAGAGAGACAGCGAGAGAGGGAACACAAGCAGGGGGAGTGGGAGAGGGAGAAGCAGGCTTCCCTCAGAGCAGGGAGCCCGATGTGGGGATTGATCCCAGGACCCTGGGATCATAACCTGAGCTGAAGGCAGACGTTTAATGACTGAGCCCCCCAGGCGCCCCATCTGTATGTCTTCTTTGGGAAAATGTCTATTCAGGTCACCTGCCCATTTCTTAATCAGACTGTTTGTTTTTTCTTTTGGTGTTGAGTTGTTTAAATTCTTTATATATTTTTGATACTAACCCCTTATAAAATAAATGATTTGCAGATATCTTCTCCCATTCAGTAGGTTGTCTTTTCATTTTGTTGATGGTTTCCTTTGCTATGCAAAAACTTTTTATTTTGATGTAGTCCCAATAGTTTATTTTTGCTTTTGTTTTCCTTGCCTCAGGAGACATATCTAGAAAAATTTTGCTATGGCCAATGTCAGAGAAATTACTGCCTGTCTTCTCTTCTAGAATTTTTATGGTTTCGTCTCCTGTTTAGGTCTTTAATCCATTTTGAGTTTAGTTTTATGTATGTTGTTAGAAAGTAGTCCAATTTCATTCTTCTACATGTGGCTGTTCAGTTTTCCCAGCACCATTTATTGAAAAGACTGTCTCTTCCTCATTGTATATTCTTGCTTCCTTTATCATAGATTAATTGACCATATAAATGTGTGTTTATTTCTGGGGTCTCTATTCTGTTCCATTAATCCATTTGTCTGTTTTTGTGCCGGTACCATACTGTTTTGATCTCTACAACTTTGTAGTATATCTTGAAATAAGGAATTGTGATAGTTCCAGGTTCATTCTTCATTCTCAGGATTGCTTTGGCTATTTGGGATCTTCTGTGGTTCCATAAAAGTTTCATTTCATTTTATTTTATTTTTTATTTATTTATTTTTTAAAAGATTTTATGTATTCATTTGAGAGAGAGAATGGGAGAGAGAGCACGAGAGGGGGGAGGGTCAGAGGGAGAAGCAGACTCCCTGCTGAGCAGGTAGCCTGATGCGGGACTCGATCCCGGGACTCCAGGATCATGACCTGAGCCGAAGGCAGTCGCCCAACCAACTGAGCCACCCAGGCGCCCAAGTTTTATTTTATTTTAAAATTTTATTTATTTGAGAGAGAGAGGGAGCGTGAGAGAGTACAAGTGGGGAGGGAAGAGGGAGACAGGGAGCGAGAGAAGCCGACTCCCCGCTGAGCACAGAGCCCGAAGCAGGGCTCCATCCCAGGACTCTGGGATCATGACCTGAGCCGAAGGCAGATGCTTAACTAACTGAGCCACCCAGGCACCGCCCCCCCATACAAATATTAGTATTGATTGTTGTAGTTTAGTGAAAAATGATGTTGGTATTTTGGTAGGGATTGCTTTGAAACCATAAATTGCTTTGGGTAATACGGACATTTTGGCAATATTCTTTTAATCCATGAACATGCAATATCTTTCCATTAGTGTCATCTTCAGTTTCTTTCATCAGTATTTTATAGTTTTCAGAGTACAGGTTTTTCACCTCTTTGGTCAAGTTTATTCCTAGGTATTTTATTGTTTTTGGTGCAATTATAAATGGTGTTGTTTTAAAATTTCTCTGTGACTTTGTTGTTAGTATATAGAAATGCTACTTATTTCTGTGTTTTTTGTATACTGCCACTTTACTGAATTCATTTATTCTAGTATGTTTTTTGGTTGAGTCTTCAGGATTTTCTGTGTATAGTATCATGCTGTCTGCGAATAGTGACAATTTAACTTCCCTACCAAAATGGATGCCTCTTTTTTCTTTTTCTTGTCTGATTGCTGTGGAGAGGACTTTCAGTACTATGTTGAATAAAAGTGGTGAGGGTGGGGGTGCCTGAGTGGCTCAGTTGGTTAAGCATTCAACCCTTAGTTTGGGCTCAGGTCATGATCTCAGGGTCATGAGAT